CATTGGAAGTGAAGTTGCCTAACCTCGTTGACGTCCTCGGGTTTTTCGACAGTAATGTGATCGCGGGCAGAGAGCCAGTTGTGCATCCAGAGGACCGCATATCAGAACCTAAATGCGTGCTTTCGAGAACCGTGGAGACAGGGCCTTCGATCACGATCCGCGATACGCCGCCTGGTCCAAAAGTTGGGCAGATAGGAGAGAAGGGTCCGTGCCATGGACTGGTCGTACCGTCAGCCCCTATGAAGACCAGGCCAACGACGACCAAAGCACCAGTTGTCTTGGGCAGCCGATCGCGCTATGATGTGGCCACCAAGGTACATCTCCCCTTGGTGGGCCAGCGGCGCTATGACTACACTGTGCCGGGCCACGTAGAGGAAGTCAATGAGTATTTTGAAGATGAGGATGAAGAGAACAACGAGGAATATTCGGAACGAGCAGGAGGATATGAACAGTATGCTGCGGGTGTTGGCGGCATGACAAGGCATCCAGGAGAGACAAGTAAAGTGGTTGGACAGGATGAAGACAGTGAACACACTGTGAGCGCATCGGGTGGGGAGGTTGGTCTGGCAGGAGGATATGGGAGCAGCTACGAAGGATATGAGGGGGATGTGCACGCGACAGTGGCTGTGGCTGGGCATACAGATGCTGCAGGGCTCGCTGAGCGAAAGAGGAAGCACAAGCGGGAAAGGAAAAGTCTTATGGATAATAAACGGAGTAGGCAAGAAGCGGGTGAAAAAAAACGATTGAAAATAATGCCCGTGGATGAGGCGGTCCAGCGAACGCGGGAGACTGAGGCAGCTGCGAAGAAAAAGCAGCAGCCAAAGAAAAGAAAGGCAAAATGTGGTGTTATGGAAAAGACTTCTGTTTTTCCAGCGGAACAACCACAATCGGATGAAGAGGCCAAAGGCAAGACAGTTACTAGGCCGCCAAGTTTGCAAAATGTGCCATCAGTGACATCTTCTGGTGTTCCTAGCAAAGGTTTTTTCCTTGAGTTGGACGAGCATGGGAACCAATGTCCAGACATGGAATTCATTTCTGTCCAGTTCGACAGAATTCTGGATATCCCCGGGGGGGAATTCAGATACAATCAACGCTATCTTGTGCAGCAGACGGTTGACGACATTTATGACGCAATGATTGCATCGGGTGAGGCTGCTATGAGAGAGAGAATGACTGGAGCTGCTGGTGTGAATGTCTATACGTTGTATGAGAAGCCTGTCCTTTTGTTGGTTGCCCTCCGTGATACATTGCATACTGACGCTTCAGGGAGGATTGTGAGAGCAAGGAGGGTGCTGGCCGATGATTTCGATCTCGAATCTGTGAACAAGTACTACTACTAACCTCTCAGCGGTCAGCATAACCTGGCGGCGACAAGAAGGTGTTTTGTTGAACGCCCTGACATCGCACAAGAGCTCCGATTGGATCGCTGGACTGCGAGGCCTGTTCATTATCCGGATAAGGGCATGGACAATTACGGCACGCTGAGCACTTTCCAGAACTCCAAGGACAAATGGAATACCCCACCGCTCGAGAACGTGGCCGTCCAGAACATACGGAAGTTGTGGCACGAGTCGAACTGTCCTGAAGCTAAAGGCGGCTCAGCGGCAGAAGTGAAAAATGTAGAGTATAGAAAGTTTGCGGGAGAGGCTCTTCGTTTGACCGGGATTCGTAATTTGATTGACATGTCCCTTACTACTCAGTGAAGCGGCCAGTGGTCTGACGCCCTCGGGCCCTACATGTTGTTGGCAAGGGCGATAAATGACGTTTTCGAAAAGGTGAAACAAGTGTACGCCGCTTGGGAAGCTGGACAATTGTCGGGGAGAGATGCTGTGAAGCCTGCTACCAAACAAGGTGAATCAGGGAAGGC